CAGGGAGTGAAGGGATTTGAATACGAGTGTGAGGATCTTGAAGTCGAACCATTCGGTTTTGGGGAGCCAGTGGGGCCTGGCCAGAACTGGTGAGATGGAGGTATGGAGTTTGGCCCAGTCAGTATGTCAGACATCAATTTCTGGATGAGAGCTAACTTTCTTCAATTGAGCGTCAACAAGATCTAGGTTCTCCTGATTGGCTCCCGTCAGCGTCTCCACACCTCAGGCGCTGATAGCATCACCATCAGTGGTTGCACACTCTACCTTACTAAGCCAGTCCAGAACCTTGGTATCTTGTTTGACCCTCAACTATCCTTTCTAACCCACATCCATGCCATGACCCGCTCTGCCTTCCTCCACCTTCGCAACATCGCCCAGTTGTTGGATCCTTTGCAAGTGAATGCAGCAGTACAACAAGCTCCAACAAACAGCCAAGTGCACTATAATTTTATCTGGGGGATTGAAACTCCCTTCTGTTTTCCAATGATCCCAATGCCATGAGATCTTTTAATGTCCACCTTAACAGGCACCAGATGGGAACCTTGTTTGAAGATATCATCCAGAGGTTGGCCAGCACCTCGGACATGCTCCCAGCTCTGCACTGGAATATCAGCCTTGAAATAAAAGTCCAGCGGTGGCTGGAACCTGCACCCTTTTAACACAACAAAAAGGAACAAAGTGCATTTATATATCACTTTTCACATCAGGAGGGTGTCCCAAGGTGCTGGGCAGTCGAGGCTTTGCACTCGAGCTGGGGATTAGATTCGAAGGCATGATCACACAGGAAGGTCTTCAGACGGACCTTGAGAGAGGCGAAGGAAGGAATACATGCTGCTACCAACTGAGCCAAGCCAGTACTTGAAAGTGAGATAATCATTATCATCCGTGCATTTAATACAGTACCTTAAGTTATCGATGCTTCACAGGATATTACGGTACGGTATAGTGACCGTGTTTGCAGCTAATTTGCATACAGCAAGATTCCACAGCAACCATGAGGTGAATGATCAAATGAATTTTTCCTTGGGTAGGTGAAAAAATTATCTTTTCCTATCAAGTACTGTAGTACCACCACATCTCCGAACGTTTGCCCGAACAGACAGACGGGACCTCGATTTAACGTTGAATCTGAAAGATGGCGCTTCTGAGGGTGCCAGGTCTCTCTTGTATGTGCGAGCACCGCAATGGAGCGTCAACCTAGACTGTAAGTCTAACTGTCAACTGTAACTGTCAACTCTATTTTTCCACCTCTTTTTGCGACCCCCAGTCCCCTGATGTTCTGTCAGCCTGCCTGTCAGATCTCAGGGGCTGGATGAGCGCAAATTTTCTTCAGCTGAACGTTGATGAGACGGAAGCGATACTCTTCGGCTCTCGTCAAAGTCTAAAATCTCACGGCTCTCACCTCCTCCACCTACCCAACCTCCCCCTAAAACTCTCTGAACCCGTACGCAACCTAGGTGTCAGGTTCGACCCCCAACTATCCTTCCTCCTCCACATCCGGTCCCTCATCAGCACCGCATTCTACCACATCCGACGCATCGCCCGTCTCCACCAATACCTCTCCTCAAAAGCCGCTGAAACCCTGGTCCATGACCTTGTCACCTTTCGTCTGGACTATTCAAATGCCCTCCTCGCCGGCCTCCCATCGACTACCATCCATAAAATTCAGATCATTCAAAACTCTGCCGCCCGCATTCTCACCTGCATCAAACTCCACTCCCCGATCACCCCAGTCCTTGCCAGACTGCACTGGCTGCCTATCCCACAGAGGATCGATTTCAAGATCCTCACCCTTGTATTCAAGTCCCTGCACTCCTCTGCACCTCCCTCCTCTCTGACCTCCTCTCTGCTCAAAACAGTACCTGTTGCCTTCGTTTCTCCGGGTCTGGCCTCCTCCTCGTCCCCCGAGTCCTCCGCTCCACCCTCGGCGGCCGTGCCTTCAGCCTCTATGCCCCGAGGCTCTGGAATTCCCTTCTTAAATCCCTTCGTCTCGCTCCCTCCGTTTCCATTTTCAGGTCTCTGCTGAAGACCTTTCTTTTCGACCGCGCCTTTGGTCACCTTCCCCCCACTCCCCCTGGCTCGGCCCCGGGATCCGCTACTGTAAAGCGCTCTGAGACGCCGTCCGGCGTGGAGGGCGCTATATAAATCCAAGTTGTTGTTGTTGTTGTAAGCTCAAAGTCCAGACGTGGGGCTTGAACCCACATTCTTCTGCTCAGAGGTGAGAGAGCTAACAGCTAAACTGACACCCCTTCATTGTCGTCGCGCTTGTTAAAATCTCACCATCTGAAAAATAAACCTTTTTATCAGCAACGCAAAGAAAACTGCCCTGTTCATACTGTGTCATACTGACAAAGTACACAGCTGGGAGCAGAATGTGCATGCTGTGATCTAGTGAGACAGATTTGATTTAACATGCCATATGTAAATGAATTGGGAAACGCACCTATGCCCGACTTCAATTACTTTGATCAAGAACACAAAAGACTCGTAAAATTCCTCCACCAAAACAAAACAATATTGCTCGGGGTGCCACAGGGCCATTTCCATTTCAAACAAGACCCATCTGTCTGAATTTGGAATCGTGAACATTGCGCTGCATTGCGTTTACGTAAAACACTGTACTGTTGCTTGTGGGCTCAGTGACAGCTATTTTCTGAATTCAAGTCCTGAACTGTATCCCGTCTCAAGGTGATTAAGCGCTCCGAAACACTGCCCCGCATGTAGGGCGCTGTATAAATGCAATTTGTTGTTGATTGCAAGTTTTCAGCCTGGCTCAGTTGGTAATGCTCTCACCTCTGGGTCAAAAGGTCATGGGTTCAAACCCCCAAATTGGGAATTTGAGCTCACACAGTCTAGACTTGACCCCCTAGTACAATGAGATGTAAAGTGGCAACTGGATCTCGTTGCTCGGGCTATGATGGAAAGCTATTCTGTAAAAGTAGCTTTGCAAACCGTCCGTGTCGATGCCAGACAGATATTGTAAGAAAGAGAATTTTTGTAATTTTATTACTCCTTATCACGAGAAGTTTGGATGAAAAAGATCTCATCCTTCCAGAATATCCACCCTCCCATCACAGTATCAAGCCGTGTTGTAAATAATTTCAGAGTCCTGTCCTCAATTACCCTTCCTTTTTACCTGCTTCATGCAAGTTTTGATCTGGATAAAGAAATGCTTCCTGGTGACGGTCCTGAAATTTGTCTTCTGCAAATTTGGTTGTATCAAAATACCTCAAAGTTCTTAACAAGAAAATATTGTTTTTCTTTCTTTCGTAGGCCTGCTCTGATGTAGATCTTAAATCATCAATCCTGTGTCCCAGAGGTGAGAGAGCTAAGCTCAGAGAGTAAGCCCCACTGTCTTTGCAAACTTGTGCACATCAAACCAAATCCTTATTATTAATCCTTGAACAGACCAGTGAAAATACAGTAATTCCAAGATATCAGCTGCTAACAGAATATTCGCTGAAGTGCCACTGTAATCCCGTCACTTTAACAGGAGATCTCACACAAGTTTTCAATATTATGGAAGGTTTTGAGAGAGGATAAATAACGAAAGAATATTTTACGCTGGTTGGTGATTCGATTAGCAAGGTACGATAATAAACTTTGCATTTGATCCAATGCCTCCAAGGTTGAAATGTCACAAAGCACTTTAATGTTACACTAAAACCCAAGCTGGGCCAATGGGGGAGAAGTCTAGATCAGTGAAACGGAATTTCCGTTTAAGTGTAATTATAATGCTGGTACCTACAAATACACTGCAATATGCAGTAAATCCTGTGAAGTTCTTTTAGACATCTCGACGATGTGACAGGTGCAAGAACAAATGCAAGGATTATCATATATTTTGAGGAGAGGTTGGGCAAACGTGAGTTACAGTTCCTTGAGTTTAGAAGGTTGTGGGATGATCCGATCAATAAACTAATAAAAGGGATTTGACAAAATGGATAGAGAGAGACTTCTTCCTGTGTGGGAATGTAGAACAAGACATCATCCAAACAGTGGAACTAAACCAGACAGGAGTGAAAACAGAAAAACAAATTTCACACAGAGGGTTGTGGAAATGTGGAATTCATTGTTCCCAAAACGTCGTAGGTTCAAGGTCAAGATCAGCCATGATCTGATACAGTGGTGGAGCAGGCTCACCAGCTGAATGATCTAGTCCTCTTCCTATTTTTTTATGGCAAGCATTCTCTCCCATTAACAAATACTCTGCTCTTTATGGAATTAATCGAGAAACACAAACAGCTGCAACAATTTGGCTGTTGGCAACTTTTAACCTTTGGAAGAGTAATGAACAGACTGAGCTTCACAACTGATTTGGGTCTGTGGTTTGAGTTACGGACAACAATAAACCTTGCATTTGATACAATGCCTATAACAACAAAAAAAGCACTTTACAGTATTTACTGTTGAGCACAATAAGTGTTTTGCAGACAAACACAGCAGCTAATTTGCATTGCATTGTCAGAAAGAATGTCCTTTAGCTGAGAACCTACCTAGGTCCTGTCAATTGACCTTGCATCTACGATGTTTTGGAGACATAAGTTTCTCCCAGTGTCTTAGCCAACAATCTCCCCAGACATAGAAATAAAATTGGTGATTCACTTCATGACTAAGGGACATGCTGTGTGTAAATTAGCCTGCTGCATTCACCAGAAATATACAGGAAATATATAGCCCAAAAGACCTGGAGGGAGTTTAATTAAAAGCTGCCGTGAAGAATAAGTATTAAGGACAAAGTTTCCACCTCAGATTCTGTGAACTGTTTCTTAGTTACCAATGATTAATGGCTGCAACTGAGATCAGAAAAACAAACGCATTTTAGACCCCATTGTTTCAAATGAACCAAGTTCAGTCACAAGTATCCTGCAGGTTGGTGTGAGGTTTATTTTGGAGTGGCTGAAACATGAGGAAACCCACCACAGTGCTTAACAGGCTCCAAACTGAACCCCTTCCACATGGATCACGTTTGCTTGTGTTTGTGCGGATTGCAGGCTTACCTGGTGCTGACTGGCTTTCGCTAGCTGCTCGTTGGCTGCGTCCACGTTTGAAGCTGCCCTCTCGATGTTGGCTTCGATGCTATCTGTAAGCCAAGGTCGGTGAGATATAACTAGAGTCCCACCATCAGTACAGCCCTGTTATAATAAGGTGGAGGGAGGAGGGGGGCGGGAGGGGGGTGTTCTGTAAAAGCGAGACTGAGTTGTAATCATTTTGCCCACAAAATATACAGTAAATTCACTTTCCAGACACCTCCTCCCTAATACTTCCAGGTTTTCTTGGAGCAGGAAGTCACTATGTTCAGGAGTCAATGGTGTGGGGGCGCACGTTATATATCAAAACTGAGGCAAGCATTATCAGGTTTGCATTGCAACAAGTTTTCTCAAAGAACCATTAAATTGATATCTCATCTGCCTGTTTGGGTAGATATTAAAGATCCCATGGCACTATTTGAAAAGAGAAGGGAGTTTCTCCCAGTGTCTTGACCATCGATTCCGCAGATAAAATTGGTGATTACCTGTGTGCAATCTGTCTGTGTGCAAATTGGCCTACAGTTTACAGTGAATCAGGTGAAGTGCTCTGAAGTGCCCTTCACGTCGGGAGGTTGTTCCAAGGTGCTGTCCTAAGGCATTATATCAGATACAAGGATTATGATTATTATTATGATGATCCTACGGTGCTTTTAAGGTTACGTTCACCGGCATCTTGGTAAAAGGCAAGACATCAGCAAGAAACAGAAAATAATTCCGTATATAAGTGTTGCTGTATGCATCCAACTCAATAGGTAGTGAGTAAGGCAGACAAGCAGGAAAGGTGAAGTGAACCCTTGAAAGACCATCCGGTCCTTGTCAGTGATGTGAGTGAGGCGGGCCGGTCTGAGCTCCTTCACTATGCACTTGGCAGAGGCTGAAGGAAAAGAGACCGATCTCATTAGGATTAGTCGTGAAGAATGGATTCAAGGGGAACCACTTGGCTTATGAGGTCCCAACTCACATTGTACAACTTGCTGACTGAATCGAAGGACACAGGCTGCACACAATAATTCCACAAGTGGGATTCACTCTGTTAGATGTGAAACCGGCAGACCATTTCGGAGTTCCCCTCGAGGTAATTTGTTTCAACGATACTTAATAATCATTGTGCGTCAGCCTGACTCAGTCAGTAGCACTCTCACTACTGAGCCAGAAGGTTATGGGTTCAAATCCCATGTCCAGACTTTGAGCTAGGCTGACACTCCAATACAGTGCTGGAGGTGTGCTGCTTTGTCAGAGGTCCTGTCCTTCAGAAGACATGTTAAACTGAAGACTCCTTCTGCTATTTGGGTGGAAAAAGATCCAGGAGCATTATTTTAAAAGAGAAGAGACTTTTATCCTTGTGGTCTAGCCAGTAATTCTTCAAGTCTGCCATATTCGCCTATAATTACTGGCATTCCACCTTACAGTACAAATCCTATAAAGCGCTTTGAGATGTTTTGATGAAGTGATAAGGTATTATTTTAACTAGCATGATAACTAGCATATCAGATGTGTAATGAAACATTGTGCTTATCCACCCCAGTGTGACGTGGGAAACTAAATGGGGGAGTTGGGGGGTGGGGTGGGTTAAGGAGAATGAAACATAAATGTAGGTGTGTCAATGAGGTAAGGAACCATGATTTGGTGTTGATACTCACCAATGTTATCTCCTTGTTCATGCACCAGCATTGCAAGATCCTTGATAATCTGGTTCACATCGAGCATGTCCGCCTGTTGGGACAAAATGCCTGAGAGTCAGTGAATTACAGCGCAGACTATATTGCTTTATTTTTCTGGTCAGCTGGGTGTCTGACATATGTAGAAACCCATCAACATGCTTAAGAGCATCCAAAACAGACTCAGAGTTCAACATATGCCTTCCACCTATGCATGGATATGTCCTTTTCTTCAAATTGGAGTCCCCCAGAGGGCCAGAAATTACCAAGGCTTGAGAAACCCAGAGTGTGCATTGAGGTAACCGTTGGAGTTTAACCAACTGAAACCCCATAGCTTGTCATTGAAAGCACTGTGTGTCAAGTTCCCTGCTGCTTGCTCAGCTTGGGCTACACTATCCATTATGCTTTGGCTTGCAGGGTGTAACAAGAGCCAAGTGAGAAGAGTCTCTGCCCCTCCAATAAGCCAATTTGGCTGGTGTGGCATCAATAGTGCCCCTGGAGTAGTGTAGACCCACCTGGCTCAGGAACCAGATTACCAAGACCACCATAGAGGATTGCCTCTGAATATTGCCCCCAACCCCCACCCTCCCCACACACACACTTACTCACATACGCAAGAGAATACCAGAATAGTCACCAGTTAGTCTTCAGATATCTGACATGCTCCAAGCCTGTGCAGCACTAAGTCAGAATAAATCAGCAAAAAAGTTTGCTCTTAAAATTGTACAATTCTACAGAACAGAACCATTCAATCTAGTGTCTCTGAGAGTACTGTTTCAACACAGTAATACCCTATTTACAAATATTTGAATATTTTGTTCAAACATTTGTCCAGTTCTCTTTTAAAAATTCTTGGATTCTAAATAATAATTCTCCTTGTATTTGACATAGCGATTTATCACGTCACTGGCTGCTGTGTCTGCCTAGAAATACACAGTCACTACACTTGACAACAATTAGCAGCGAAGCGCTTTAAGACGGTTTATTGTTAATGGGGCCATATCAAGTGCAAGGATTATTTATTTATAATAATAATAATACTTGCAATTGATATAGTGCCTTTTACGTCAGGAAGATGTTACAAGAGTCCTAAAGCAACAGAAGTAAATATTTCCTTATTACCTATCACATTAACAAGGATAAGTCTCATTAATTTTTCATAGGCGTAAATTAATGTTTAGCATATTTATCTTCCTCATATATTTAAAGCCATTGCAGTGTTTCTGCCGAGGGAACGTTACCTCAGTTATCAATAGCATATTTATCTTCCTCGTATATTTTAAAGCTACATCTCCAGTCAGAGTCAGAAGCTTGTGGTTCAAGCCTCATGTTAGGAAATGGAGCTCACATTCTAGGCTGATGCTCCAGTGAGGTACTGGCTGGGGGGGGGGGGGGGGGGGGAGAGGCTGTCCGTTGAGGTGCTGTCCGTTGGATGTGATGTTAATCTGAGGTCCCACCTGCCTGTTCAGGTGGATGCTAAAGGTTCTATACCACTAATCGAAAAGAGAAGGGAGTTTCTCCCAACGTCCTAAACACCTCCCCCGCCCAACAAAGTTGGTTGTTCACTTTATGTCTGTTTGTGGGCCAATGCATTGGCTGCTGCGTTTGCTTTCAAGCACACAGTCACTGCACTCTACAGTGTTTCCTATGAAGTACTGTGTGGCATTTTAATGGTAGGTGAAAAAAACAGATTATTATTAGAGACTCAAGAGAGAGAAAAGGAAAGAGTGAAAATGGATGCGAGTGAAGAGATTGCACAATGTGCTCTTGTTCTGGCAATATAACATCTGAAGAAAGACATTTTTGGTCAACAATATATCCACTTTGTATTCTGTGTACTTATTATCCTCAGTGATGACCTATTACTGGTTGTTTATCCACAATGGTGCTGGTCCAACCAGTGTGGATAATGGGCTCTCCACCAAATTGGAAAAGAGAAAAAAGTTTCCCTCACTGTCTGTAGATAAATTGGTCACTCATTTCTCAGCTGTTTTGTTGGCAATTGCTGAGCACAAAATGGTTTCTGTGCACAATATCGTTGCTGCACTCACCCTCAAAATGAACGTTCACTGCACTTCACATTAGATACTGTATAGTTCCTTGAGACATGTTGACGTATAAGGCACTATAGAAATTGCAAGTTATTTTTCAGAATGCAGCAATAAATAAAATAATATAAAGTCTGATATGGAAACATTATTTTTAACAAACGTAATTGACAAGTTAGATAGTGAATCACTTTCCCCAGTGGTAAAAGGATCCTTTGCAAAGGGGCAGAGCCTTAGAATCAGCACTAAGATGGTTAGAACTGAAGTCATAAAGTTTTTCTGCACACAGAGGGTTGTGAAGATGTAGAATGGTCTGCCCCAGAATGCCATAGAGGGGAATTGATAGGGATATTTTAAAGAGACAGACACCGATTCGGTCATATAGGTATTGAAGGGTATGGGCAAATGGTAGAACTTTGGGATTAAAAGATTTGTCAAGATCAAATAAACTGGTGGAGCAGACTCAGTGAGCTGAATGGTGAACAGACCAGTTATCACTGGGTTAAACACCCCTACTCAGAGAAACATCAGTGAGGTTTAACAAAACATAGGCCCATTGGATTTGTTAAGTGATTCTTTACCGAAGAATTTCTCTGACAACTGGATGAGAGGAAAGCAAGGGCTCTGCCTAAAATCTCTGTTAAACAAAGATTACATTCACAGCGGGCTGAACAGCTGATGCAAGATGATTACACCCCAACCCAGAAATGTAATCAAACTATAAATTTGATCTTGCATCATATCTTGCGTGCTTGCACACACGCACACGCAATACACACACAGAGCCATAGCCACAGACAAAAACAACAATAAATTGTATTTATATAGCATCTTTAACATCAGGAGGACAAACACACACACATATAGAGAGAGCTGGGAGGGCATAGGAACAGCAGCATATCGCAAAGATATGAAAACAGGAATTTGTGTCATGATTACTGTTCTGGGTTGGGATTACACCGCACCCCCGAAATATAATCAACCTATAAATGTTAAAACTACATCCCACGCACGCACATGCACACACAAACACACACACAGGGATTTGTGTTATGTAAATAAACCTAGAATAATATTCCTTATATTTGAACCAGCATCGTATGTTGAAAGAACATCTCACAGAGTTTCACAGGAATCCTGCAAAGTGTTGTGTAGTATTTCCTAGGTGAATGTGCTGTAGAAGTTACAAATTAATATTTATTTTTACGTTTCGCCCACAATATGTAGTCACTCCACTTTTCAATATATTCTCTGAAGCACTTTGAGATGTCTCAACTGATTCTAAGGCTTTGCCTGCATGCAAAGCATCCTTTCACGACAGGGAAAAGTATCCACTATCTATCCTGTCAATTACTTTTTTTAATTAAGGCGCTATATCAAATCCAAGGATTATTAATATTATTTTTAATAATACTGAGGCTCCATCTTGCCTGTCCTTCAGGTAGACATACCTGCTCTCCCCCAACACTATTGGAACAGAGAACAAGTTGCACTTATATAGTGCCCTCCATACAGGGCAGTATCTCAGAGCACCGAACTGTGACGGAGCCTGACTCCGAGCCGGGGGGATAGGGGAGGTGACCGTAACCACAGTCGAAAAGGAAGGTTGTCAGGCAGGACTTGGAAAAGGGGAGAGAAGGGGCAAGGTGGAGGGAGAATGTTCCAGAATTTCAGGGCACAGTAGCTGAATGCACGATTGCCAATGGTGGATTGAAAGGTGCGAGGGACAAACAGGAGGCCAGTGCCAGTCGAGTGGAGGAGCCAGGTGGTGTGTTGGGGAGTGATGGAGGTCGGAGAGGGAGGGAGGTACCAAAGAGTGAAGGGATTTGAAAACGAGTGTGAGGATCTTGAAGTTGATCTGTTCGGTGATGGGGAGCCAGTGGAGCCTGGCCAGAACTGGTGAGATGTTGCTACAGTGTTTGGTCCAGGTCAGTATGCGGGTGGCAGAGCTCTGAATGAGTTGGATTTTTTGAATGGTGGAGCTGGGGAGAACCAGTGAGGAGTGCGTTGGAGTAATCCAAGCGTGTGGTGACAAACGCATGCACGAGGGTTTTGGCTGCATTTGGGGTAAGTATGATCGGAGGTGGGTAATGTGACGGAAGGTGGTCCTGGTCAGGGACTGGACGTGGGGAAAGAAGGACAGCTGGGGGTCGAACCGGACGTCTAGATTAATCACTGGTTCTGTGAGTCTGAGGGAGAGGCTGGGGTGTGAGGATGTCAGATCCGCAGGAGTGAAGACCTTAAAGGGAGCCAAGGAGTATGGCTTCCATCTTGTCACATTCAGCCGCAGGAAGTTTGCACTCATCCAGGCCCTGATGTCTGCCAGACAAGCTGATAGAACATCGGCAGACCTGGAGTCGCAGCTGGAGGAGGCAAAGTAGCTTTGTGTGTCATCCGCATACATGTAGAAGTTTACTCCGTGTCTCTGGATGACATAGCCAAGAGGGAGCTAATAGATGGAAGAAAAAAAGGGGGCCAAGGATGGAGTCCTGGGGTACCACGCAGGTGACTGGGTAGGCAGCGGGAGGAGAAACTATTTGTCCAAATGAAATGGAGGTGGTTGGTTAAATAGGACTCAAACCATGCCGGTGTGGTCCCACTTAGGTGGATGAGGAGGAGAGGCAGTGGAGGGGGATGGCGTGGTCAACTGTGTAGAACGCGGCAGAGATCCAGGAGGACGAGGAGGCAGAGGGAGGCCTAGTCACAGATAGAGAGGATGTCGTTTGTGACTTTGGCAAGCGCTGTCTCTGCGCTGTGGGCAGGGCGAAAACTAGACCTCAGGGGCTCGAGAAGGGAGAGGAGGGAGAGGTGTGACCGACGTTGACCTGCAACAATGCGTTCCAGAAAAGGGAGGTTTGCACAGTATCCTGGCTAGCGTTTTACATGATGCTTTCACTTAAGTGTTTTGGAGCGTTTCTTGAAGACAGGGGCAGACACTGAGCATGGACGGGGGGAGTGGGGAACTGACCAGTTTATCTGAAGTTTAGATTCTTCAGATAATCTGTTCATTCACCTCATGGTTGTTTCTGAGACATTTGCTGTATATAATAATAATAATCCTTGTATTTGATATAGCGTCCTATCATGTCTTCGAGACGTCCCAAAGCGCTTCATAGAATATACTATAAAGTGAATTGACTGTATATTTTGTGGGCGAAACGCAGCAGCCAATTGTGCACAGCAGTGTTCCACAAACAGTCGTGGATTGCAGTGACCAATTTATTATTACTTTGTTTTTGAAGAAATTATTACCTAAGGAAAAGCAATCTGCCAATCCAGGTTAGGCCTCAGCTGGAGTACTGCGTCCAGTTCTGGGCACCTTACTTCAGGAAGGACATTAAGGCACTGGAAAGGGCGCAGAGCAGATTCACGAGAATGATACCACGAATGGGGAACCTTAGCTATGAGGACAGGCTGGAGAAGTTAGGACTTTTCCCATTAGAGCAGAGAAGGTTACGCAGGGACCTGATAGAGGTCTTCAAGATCATGAAAGGTTTCGACAGGCTAGATAAGGAAAAGCTGTTTCCGCTGGTAGGTGTGTCTGTGACCCGTAGTCACAGTCTTAAGATATCTACCAAAAGAAGCAGAGGGGAGGTTAGAAGAAATTTTTTCACTCAGCGAGTTGTTCGAATTTGGAATGATCTGCCTGAAAGGGTAGTGAAGTCCAATTCGATAACAGCTTTTAAGAGAGAACTGGATTGGTATCTGGGGAAGACGGGTTTGCAGGGTTATGGGGAGAAAGCTGGTGATTGGGGTTAGTGAAAGTGACTTGCTCTGTCAAAGAGCCGGCACAGACTCGATAGGCTGAATGGCCTCCTTCTGTACCGTAACATTCTATGAAACTATGAATCTATGAATCCACTAACAATCGGGATCCTATTTACTCCGAGGTAAACAGAAGCGTGTGGAGTAAGGAAACTTGCCCAACATTTCGCCCTGCCAGGAATCAAACCCAGGTCTCTTGTTTGCGAGGCGAGTGCTCTAACCACTGAACTACAGTACTCCACTATATATATATACACGTATATATGAGTTTACATGAAAAATACACAGTCACTTGACAGAAATTACACAAGTGAGGATGTTGTTTTGTCAACAAAGTCTTTCCCATTTATCCATGGTCATAACTAAGGAACAGTTAGGGTAAAATTCCATCCGAATCTGGATTTATGCTTTTATTGTTATATTTCAGGGCATCCTAGATTTGTCAATTTTTGAAATACAATCTTTAATTTTGAAGCTTGTTTTCCCTAAATTCCTTTAAGAACCACATAAAACTCGCTTAATAAATAATACTCCCTGCATTTGATACAGCATCTTTAATATCTGGAGGACGTCTCAAAATGCTTAAAAGGATTTACTGTAAAGGGCAACAACTGCGTATTTTGTAGGTGAACGCAGAAGCCAAATTGCGCACAGTTTCAAAATTAAAACTGGATTCACAATTTTCCAAGCTGCACACATTCTGAGATTATTTTAATCAAAATAAAGCTAGACCCAAGAGGAATGTCTATCGCCAGAGTGTTTTGCTGAACTTTTGCTCCATTTTAATCTCTATGAGTCTATGGTTCTTAGTGCTACACACTATATTCAAAGCGATTCTGTGAAGAGCTTCGAGACATGAAAGCTAAAAATGAGAAATCGATTGAGGATTCCATGAAGAAGACCCTTGGGCTTGGGATTCCATGAAGAAGACTCTTGATTTCATCCTTCCAGAACACCCAACCTACAGTGGGAATTTTTAGATTCTAACATGATGTTATAACAGAGCTCCACTCTATAGTTCTAGGTTTATTTTCTCAATCCCATCTACAATTGGATAGGTAGTTAAAAAAGAAAAAAACTGTAGGGATAAGGGGTAAGAGCGGGGGAGGAGTAGTTGGATAGCTTTTTCAAAGCCAGCGCAAGCACGATGGGCCAAATTACCTCACTCTGAGCTGTAAAAGTCTATGATTCTATACCATTTGATGTATTCCTATTAATGTCTTCTCTTGGTTACTCTTTTCAAAGCTTATTCAATCTTTCATCATAGCTCATCTCTCTAACATTGACGATCATCCTTGTTGCTCTTCTCTGCACTGTCTCCAGAGCCCTGGGAAGCCATCACCTTCCTTCACTTCTGTCTATGCTGGATCCATCCATCACTTGTCAGCTGTGTATCCAAGGCCAGCTCAGGCACTTGGTTTGATAAGCTCACATGCGATGCAGACAAACTGCTCTGGACCACAACTATAATGAAGGCTGACATAAGAAACACAAAGACTTTGTGCCTGTCTGCATTTGCTACTTCTCAATCTGTCTTCTTCTCCATTTCATCCCTCTATTGTTCCCTGAATTTGTGCTCCGTCAAGCGGTCATGTCCTGCAGCTTTGAAATGTGCCTCATTGTTGCTGTACAGCAGCAGATATCATACCCGCCAATCATCATGTCATCACTTGGCCTGGGCTGGTTGCCATACATATGTGACAATAGGAGGGTTCCTACAGCTGTGTTTAGAGCTGTAAAGCTAGACCAATTAAAATATGCAAGTAACAAGTAAGCCCAAGTGTGCATATGAAAACAGTGGGCGTATCAGGTCATCACACAATTTACTGAACTCACTGGAGCTCCAGTATCATGGCCCCAACTGGTTTCTCTCCCCATTTTCTATCTCTGACTCTTTCCCTCTCTCCTCTGTGTCTATCTCTTTCTGTCTCCCTCCTCTGGGTCTGTACCTCTCTCCCCACCAGCCCCTGCCTTTCTCTGCTCTGTCTGACCCTCTCTCATTCCTCTTGCCTCTGCATCTAATTATCTCTCTCTCTCTCTTTTGTGTCTCTTACACTCCCTCTTTGTTTTGCTGCTCCTCTCTCTTTCCGTGTCTGACGTTCTCCCTCTCTAAACTGGGTCTCTGACTCTCTCTCTCCCTCTCCTGTCTGAGGCTCTGACTTCTCTCTCTCTCTTTCTGACCCACACTCTCAGGCCAGGATTATTATTATTATTATTATTAAAATCTTATCTTCTGTCTCTTTCTGACCCCCTCTCTCCCTCTGACCCTGTCTTTCTCTATTTGACCCTCTCTCTTTCTCTCTCTCTCAAGAACAGGATTATTATTATTATTATAACCAAGTATCTCCCAGCGGCACGCCATCTTATCTCGACTTGCAATGACCTTTTAAAGCTATTTATAAAACCACAATACAAGGAGACGTGAGGAGGGAGAGTGAGAGCTGATTTGCAACCTTTTTGCTGAGATCGTGAAGAAATCTCAAGGTATGTAACCAGCCTTGCCTGGCTCACTCACATTACCACCCAGTACAGGTTTTCCTGCTGCTCTCTGATCAATATCTAGGGCAATAAAATTCAGGTTGCACGTGCACTACAAGTCAGCTGACAATGAGACGTTAACTGGTATAACATTTCACGGGTTCTATATTGAAGGCTATAATGACACTCATACGCCTTATTGCAAAACATTTCTGCTCGCTGCAACATAAAGAGGCAACCCAGGCTCTTGAGATGCTGCAGAGAAGAACAGCAAAGATGATCTCTAGTGTTAGAGGAATAAGCTATGAGCAATAATTAGACAAGCTGGGGCTCTTGAAAGGAGAGGGGACTTTGTTTAGGTGATTACAAATTTTAAAAGTAAACCCAGAACACTTTAGGATGCACTGAGACAGTAGAACAAGAGGACACAGATTTATAGTTACAAAAGGCAATTCTAGGACAGACACCAGGAAGTTTTTCTTTGGGTAATTAGCGACTGGACCAGGTTGCCAAGAAGGGTGGACTCAGTTAATAAAACCAGCTCGATGCTGTGGTGGGAAGGCTGTAGTGTGGGTATTCTAGAAGGATGAGATCAGATGGATCGAAGGGTGTTCTTCATCCAAACCAGTCTTGCGATCATCTTGTAAATAATAAATCTTATAATAATCTTTGCATTTGATATAGCGCTTTTCACGTCTTCTCGATGTCTCAAAGCGCCTCACAGAATAGACTGTAAAGTGAATTGACTGTATATTTGTGGGCAAAACGCGGCAACCAATTGGCACAGCAATGTCCCACAAACAGTCATGGATTGAAAATGACCAATTTATTATTGTTTTTTGTTTTGGAGGGAATATTATTAGGCTCTGTGTGGAGTAAGGAAACTTGCCCAAGATTTCGCCCTCTGCCTGGAATTGAACCCAGGTGTCCCGCTTGCAAGACGAGTGCTCTAACCACTGAGCTACAGGACTCCACAAATCAAATCTTATATTTGATATAGCACCTTTCATGCCGGGAGTATGTCTCAAAGCACTTTATATGATTTACTGTAAAGTGGAGTACCTGTGTATTTGTAGGAAACATTGTGGCCAATTTGCATACAGCCAATGTCCCTCAAACAGCCTTGAATTGAATTTTATCTGGGGGATTGTTGGCCAGAAAATCAGGAGAAACTCCCTTCTCTTGTGCATTGGGATCCACCTACGACATCCACCTGATCAGGGCCTCAGTTTAATGTCTCATCTGAAGGATGCTTTAAATTACACTCTCAACAATGCAATGGAGCGCCAGCCTAGATATTGAGAATCCCAACATGTGGTTTGAACTACAACCTTCTGACTCAAGAGGCAAGAGCACTACCAACACTTGTCTCAACTTCACCAGGATCCTGTTAAAATCAGTGAAACCCTCCCTCCCCCACCCCCACACCATACACACACAAAGAAATTAAAAACTGAGCAAAGACAGTCCACGTGACGTGACCACTGACCTCAATCTGTAGAATCGCCTCCTCTCTTTCTTTTACGTTCTCCAGTTCCTCTTCTGTGATCTCTGAAAGAAACGCCTGGTCCTGACTCTGAGCCGGATCCTGTGGCTGACCCGGGGTCTGCCAGCTACTGGACCCTCTGCCGAGGAAGGCGTCCTCATCGCTGATCTCTGTAAAATTGTTCTTGGCACTCTGTAACAGAGAAGAAAAAAAATCCGAGTCCATAATTCACGATTAGCAAAAAAAAGTACCCCAGTTTTCATGTGTACAATAGGTGTTACAATACTGTTTCACCCACAAATTACGTCTCGATGACATTAAAAGGCTCTATATCAAGTGCAAGGATTATGATGATGAAATGTGGAATCCCTCTGCCACAGTCAGTTAGTGGGAGCTGACGCTGTAATTTATTATAATAGGGAATTAAATAGATGATTGAAAAATATTAAAAGGCTGGGGAGCGCAAGTGGCTCATGTGGAGAAAAACACCAGCAGACTGGATGGGCCGAGCAGCCTATTTCTGTGCTGCAATGTTCAACAACACTGGTCCCTCTTTGATACCCCAGCTCCCCTGAATCATTCTAACCCAGTCCCAAATAATAAACATTACAAATGGCTGAACTCTGCAGAAAATACCTCTGACGGTGGCTTTATTGAGAAACCGATAGAAAAACATAAAAAGCACACACACACACACACACACACTTACACATGCTGAGTGTTTTAACGGGAAAACTCAATATCCTATTTATACTGCACACCACATGAAAGGTCACTTTCCATTTCAGTTAGATTTTTGTTGTTAACGCCCAGCTGAGCACAGCCTGTGAATATCAAATAACTAAGGGTTGGTTGCCTAGCTTTGCTGAGATTCTTGGTGGGACTATTATGCCCGAGGAGGTGACAATTGCACAGTGCAATATCTGTCGCTAACAGCTTTGCCTAGTTGGACATCATTGGAAACTTAACTGCAAAAACTAATGAAACCTTTTCTTTCCCATGTACTGCCACAGTGGGATGGCCTTCACTGACTTGGGGCTTACGAGGCATTTTATGAGCTACTCTATTGCCTTTGATTTACACACCGAGAGAGGAGACTATCGGAGCAAGGCAGGTGCTAGTTATCTTAAAGATTTTATTTCCTATTTTTGGGAGGGTCTATACGGAAACTCAAAATTCCTCTGCCTTGAAACCATCTGTGTCAACCTGGCTCAGTTGGTAGCACTCTCGCTTCTGAGTCAGAAAATCATTATTTCAAGTCTTAAGTTGGGACTTTGAACTCACTGTCTAGGATAGGAGCACCCTAAGCCTTCGGAGCTTTGGCTTGCAGGGTTGACAGGAGCTCAGTGGGAAAAATCACTGCTCCCAGTGACTGGATGACTTACCTCCATTTTGGCATTGCCTTCACAAGGCTTTCCACCCGCCCATTCCTTATAATTCTCCAGTTAGTTAAGGGTCCTGTTAGTGGAGCTCAGGTGTCCCAGGTGGGGTGGGTAGAGGTATTCGTCCTCTGAGTTCTGCGACGCTGGTTACTTTTGCTGTGTCAAATTATTAACACAGTTCTCTCGAAAATCTTTCGAAGTTTTATTATGGAAACGACAATGTTTAAAATCAAAGGTTTATTTTGTGACAGTGAAACACCTCTTTATGAGGTCACCTCTTTATGAGTCTCTCTAATATTACACAAGGTTCCTTATTACATCACATTACTGAACTCACTTTAGTTATTTTATATCTCCTCCTTGTACTGCCCCCCTCTCCACTTCCTTTCTCTCTTCTACCTTCTTCCCCTCCCATCTCCTCCCTTCCTTCCATACTCTTGCTTTTACCCTCTCCATCCTCTCTCCCTCCCTCCCACCCTTCGTTTACTCTTTCACTCCTCCCTATCTCCTCCCCTGCTCTCTTTTGGAACTCTCTCCTCCAGTGTTCAGTGTAACTGTCTCCTCCAATATCTATTGCCGTTACACACTTATCTAATTCTCCATCAAACTCTGAGTACCACACTGAGTAAGCTATTCCACACTTGCACCACCCTCTCCATGAAGTGGTTAAATCAATCTGTTCAACTTCTCCCTGCTTTCTCAGCTGGAGACATTGCCCTCCAGCTGGGAAACTCAATTTGTCCCTCCTGTTTTCAAAGGTATATAACATCATCCTGAATTCACATATCAAGCGTTCCTGTCAATCTCGCACTCACTCACTCCTGCAATGCGAATCTTCACCAGATGATGTCATGACATGCTCTCAGCTACAATATCAGTGCATCGATGAACACCATCAATGTGAAATGGGACTGAGAAAGAGAACCTGGAACAATACTTTCAGTGTGCCAAGGCAGCAGGACATGAAGCATGAGTTGAAGGGAAGCAAAGGGCAATTTCAGGACAGAGACCAGGAAATATTTCTTTACACAGCGGGTAATCAACAGATAGTAAGCTGAGTGTGTCCTGGAGAGAGAAAAAGTGAGACACTGAGAGAAACTGCTTTCTATTTTCTATATTCGCACCTGTGACAATGCAGAGCTCCCCCCAATTCCCCCCCCACCCCACCACCCCACCCCCAAACACTGCACTGGAAAGCAAGTTCAAAGTTCCGACCTGGGACTTGAACTCACAACCTTCCGAATCAGAGGCCGGAGAGGGGCTACCGATTGAGCGAGGTTATAATAAGTGCGCGTCTTGTTTAAGTGGTGGATGTGATACCAAATTAGATGCTCACGAGGTGTTGCTGCCTAGGGGTGACATGACAGCACATACCAGAGGCAAAGCTGGCATATCCAGCACTTTGTGATTTCACGCATGTCTCGGTGTCAGTTCCTGGGCATGTGTGCTGTGAATTGGGGCCATAGCCTGCTGATCAGCAGCACATAGGAGGCTGGCAGGAGAATTTTGCAATAAATTCCACATTTAAAGGCTTTCATAAACTAAACAGGTTCAGAATAATGCCTCTGAAGCCTAAAAAGAAAACATGATCATCTTTCGTCTTAAGGCAATGTGTTAAAATGTAAGAATATGGGGAATTCTTAAACACTGTCTTAATAAGGAAGCTAGCTTTATGCAGTTCTTAAAACTAGCTGATAATTATCAAATGACAATCTGATGTTTAACAGATTGGAGCTGATAATTATTAAGGTTTGTGCATATCAAAAATAGCATGTGACAAAATATATTTGCATTTAATATAGCACCTTTATTGCACTTTCAAAATGTCTCAAAGTGCCTCGCAGAATTTTGCTGTAAAGTGTAATGACTGCTTTTGTTGGCAAATGCAGTAGCTAATTTGTGCACATCAATGTACCACAAACAGCCATGAAGCATCTGATTTATTTTTTTATCTAGGGGATTGTTTGCCAGGACACCAAGAGAAACTCTCATATATCTCCACAGGATATTTAACGTCCAACTGAAAAGGTAGATGGGACCTTGGTTTAATGTCTCATCCAGAGTCACTAAGCTCTTCGGCATGCAGAAGAGCGGCTTCCTCCAGCCCATTTGCAAAGTCCAAGATTAAGCAATGAGGTGAATTTCTGGCAAACACAGCAAGCGGCTGCAGGGAGGGAGCCATGTGGGTTTCCGCTGACCACAAAAAAAGATCTCCAACCGAGCAGCTCAATGTCTCCGATGTTGGGGCTTGAACCCACAACCCTCTGACACAGAGGCGAGAGTGAGTGCTAACAACTGAGCCAGGCTGACCCCTGAAACTGTGGCTAAATTATTGGGTTATCCACTTGCTTCGTCTTATTTGTTTTGATATTCTCTTTGGCTGGTGGAGTAGATTTGGTATTACACTGCACTCCAGAGAGCAGTCTCTGTCACCCAGTTTGTGTTCAGTTGTATTTCACGAGCTTTTGGTTCGACAGTAAAGCCCTTCCCACAGCAATACTGACCTTGTAAAATATGTGCGAGAAATTTAAGGGGTGGAATTGTGTCTTGTCAGCCATGGGCAAGAAGCTATTACGGAAAGGAAAAACTCTTGACAATGCACATGCTACTTTTAAATCAAATTTCAAGAAAAAGTGGAATGTTGCTACTGAAGGTTAAAATGATTTTTCCCCAACATTTCATTAATACCTCCAAATGGGAATGCATTAAAATTAACGTGTCTGACTGAGCATATCCAAATTCTGCATTGAAACCTGCTATCAGTTTCATGGTAAAATAAGCTTGTTACTGATTTAAAGTGGAGTCCTGTAGCTCAGTGGTTAGAGCACTCGCTTTGCAAGCGAGAGACCTGAGTTCAATTCCAGGCAGGGCGAGACCTTGGGCAAGTTTCCTTACTCCACACGCCTAATAATAATCCCTCCAAAACCCAAACAATAATAAATTGGTCATTTTCAATCCACAACTGTTTGTGAGACACTGCTGTGCGCAATTGGCTGCCGCGTTCGCCCACAAATATACAGTCAATTCACTTTACAGTATATTCTGTAAAGCGCTTTGGGACGTCCTCCCGACGTGAAAAGCGCTATATCAAATGCAAGGATTATTATTATTATTATTAAAGAAATGTCAGGAAATGGGCTGTAATGAGTAGCAGACTTGCTCTTTGATCTGTTACCTGGGTTCACAGCTAGACCAAGAAGAACAGCACAAAGATCTCTGCCCATTGGTTGTTGTGCCAGCCTAGCTCAGCTGTACTCTCACCTCTGTTTCAGAAGGTGGTGAGTTCAAATCCCATGTCGGACTTTTAACTCATAGTCTAGACTGACACTCATTGTTGTTCTTGGGGTATATTGCAATGTCACAGGTGTCATCCTTCAGATTAGATATTAAACTGAGGTCCCAACTGCCTGTTTAGTTGGACAATAAAGCTAATAAGAATTCTGACTCAACTACTGCTCCCAGCAGAGCATTCCATATCCTAATCACTCTCCCCATTTGCCTGTTTGCTAGCTATCTTAAATTGATGCTCTCTCATTACTGACTCACCGACTTGGTAAATTTAGCAACTACAATTTGACAGCTTCTTGAGGAAAATAATATTGAAGGGTACAGGGTAATGGGATAACAGTAGATAGCTCTCTAACGGAGGGGCAAGTATCAACACAACACTCACACAATAGGGGAATAGCAGGAGAATGAGATTAAACCAGATAGCTCTATTGACGCAACCTAGGGTCAGGTTCAACCTCCAATTATCCTTCCTCCCCCACATCCGGTCCCTCACCAGAACCGCTTTCTTCCACCTCCGAC